TGTGGCTTATTGAGGTTGCCATTTTTTGTTTTTAGTACCAGGAAGCTTTTTCTTACCATAGTTTTGTAATATCAAGGGATGATATGTTGATATTATTGTATAAGACTGAATCTATGTATTTCAAATTGTATTTTTTTATTTTTTTGGTAGGTTGCCATCAGGAATCAGCTTAAGAACAGTGCTCGAAATCAGCCAGGAGACAGGCACATTTTGTGACTGGGAATTGTCTGAGAAGTCTTGGTGCCACGTATGGCAACTGAGATTCAAGATTAAAATTGCTGCTGCTGGCACAAAGGGCGCAGGAGGATAAATGCCTCCCTGCCCAACTCCAAAGTAAGATCGTTAGCTGCTGCCTTCCATGCTGTTTTGCCTTGTTTCACCTCCCCAAAATGCTAGCTCGCTGATTGCTGCCTTCCATGTTCCACTTTGCCTCCCCTCCCTACCCCAAACAGGTAAGTTCAAATCTAGCACAATACTTTACATTACATATCTATTTCACACACATACACCAGTATATATAAATATTAAATATTCAAGTGACCTATGGTTTTAGCCACAATTGCAGGGGCTGAGTCCCATTTATGCTTGTGGTGTCCAATTAAAAATGTGATATTAACAATGTTTCACTGATGTGAATTGTGTATTAGTTCATGCATTTCGGAAAAATAAATAGAAAGTGCTGCTGAACTGGGGGGAAATAGCGACTAGTCATTCTGTTTTTGCGCCCGTAACCTAGGTTCCAGGATTCATGTGGCGAATGGCTTTCTATCCCAGTTTCTAACACTACTTAAGAAGTGCACAAATCTAATAATTTTGTAAAGTTTTAATATAGCAAGCAGGTGGATTAAAGAAAAACAAAACATAATTAAAGTAAGTAAAGAAATACAAGGATTTGGAAGATGACAGGATACACGAATGTCTCTCGGGAGCTTGAGTCCCTGCTACAGAAGCTGATGGGAGAAGAGAATGAAGGCATTTATTGCAAACATATAAAAAAGAAAGGTGGTGATGAAGGCTGTCTTTATGCAGAACAGATGGACTAATTGACATTTCAAAAGCAAACTTCAGCTCAGACCAATGGGGAAAAACTAAAGACCACACAGATGTGATACTATCAGCAATCCTCTCAAGACAGCAATCTGGGAACTGCAACTGTTACTCAGAAGCAAAAATATGGCAAAAGGGACTGCTTTGGCTGCCTAAAACAAACGGCTGATGCAATTTCTATTTTGTGACTCAAAATTATTATTGACAAGTAGTACAACTGTGAAGTAGCCTAGCACAGAGGACTGGACATTGACCAGAAGGACTAAAGCGTCAACTCATTAGCATACTTCAAATTTGTACCTCTGGTTCACTGTCCCGTGTGTAAAGAATAAATTTTTATGATAGCTTGGATGTTGTGATGACAACGTATCTTAGAGAGACGGAGCTGGCTGAAAAAGAAAGAATATATGTTTGTATTTAAAGAGAATTATGTATCTTAGAAGTATTACTCTGTTTAGGGCTCAAGCCAAACAATGTGATATAAAAGATGCTTTACAATTCATAAAAGCACCAAACATTCCTTAAAAGCTCTAAGTGACATTTATGATGAAGACATTTGACCTTATTCTAAGACATCAGCAGCTGATTCCAGAGTGGAGCAACCCTTGAAAATATAGCATTCTTTTAAATAAGAAAAAATCTGAGGGTATTTAGACTCTCCAAATTATTTTTTTGTGACTTGGGAGATTTACTGCAATAGCCCAGGTCTAATTAAGGCTGTGCCAGGACTCAAGAGCAGGGACAGCCTTATGCAATAAAACATGCTAGGTAATGTCAACAGGCAGATATGTTGGCATAAGTGCTTAGAATTGCTGTGTATAAATTATCAAGGTTTAAATCCATTATCATTTTCAAATTCAATCATCATGCTTATGAAAGTGCACTAAGGGAGTCTGCACAATCTACATGGGGGTGGGCAGGGAGACACGGAGACAAAACCCAGCCTAGGTTAAAAAGCACTTTTAATTATTTTACTGCTATGGCAATACCCACTGAACACACCATAAAGTATCTGCCCCCACTCTCAATATTTACACAGAGCAGAAGGTTCTTTAGTTATAAAAGGTTTTCCATCAGTAGCGATCTGGGAAAGGACAGTTCTTTTACTCTCGCAGGTACCTTTACTGTCTTGTTTACTCCTCCTTAAAATAATGCCTAATACTTTTCTGATAGTACTTGAGCAAGCACCAGGCAGCATGTACAAGATGGAACAATTTTTTAAAAACAAAAATCCCCCACAGAAGAATTCGTAACATTAATTACTGAAATTTTTAATTCCAAAGCTAAAGGAATTTTGATGTTAAGAAATGATTTCAAAAACAAGAAAATGCTGCAGTTCTGGCAATGCATAGATGCGCTACGGTAAACAAACCTGTTGGATAGGAAATTTCTGCAAGTTGTAAGCTGTTCTCTTGGTAGCTGGTTACTTCACTGGTGGAGCTTACGTCACATTATGGACTAGCAGAGAACAGTGGAGTAGATTGAGAATCATGCCCCTCCTCTTTCGTTTGTGTCCTACTATTTTATAGAAAGTTGACTTGGAAGTTCAAGACATTATGGCTTTTGCAGGTTAAGTAACAAATTAAGTAAGGAAATAATGCACTTCTAGAAATCATATGCTGGTGTGGCTATACCTAAAGCTGGAGTATATTGTTTACATTACTCTCTCCACCTCAATTCCATTACTGCCCCCTTTTCCTCCAATCTATTGGAATGATGGAAATCACAGGATTCCCTTACAGTCCTTACTGTACCTATTTTTGTAGAAAGTCAATCTGCATCAGCTCAGCATAACTGGATTATAACATGGAGGAATAGTTTTAGCAGTTATTTATAAAACAAGAATGGCTATCCTCACCACACTCCTGTGGAGTGAGTAATGCACTTAGCAAACCAAGAAGTCCTCTAAGATTAACAACCCCTAAACCAGCCATATAGAAAACTCAGCTGAAAAGTGGGCCGCTGCCTATGATAAGAGCTATTGTTTTCACTTCCTCAATGGCTTTTGGGACATAGTCTTTCAGAGTGGTTAAATCACACAGGAAACATTAGGCTTCAGTTAATTCTGAAACATATAACAGGTTCTTTGGATAAAAGGTATTGTTTTAGTACTGGTCAAAACATCCGGAAGAAAGGGGTTAAGAGTTCTATGTGAGTGGGGCATGTTAGCAAGCTTAATTTAGACAGACAGAGATAGCTATCAGACTTGCTTCAAAAAAGAAAAGAAAAGAAAGTATGTCAGTAGTCTCTGTGGGAACACAGCTTCTGAATTGTGTAGAATAATAGCAAAAACACCGTAAGCCATCAAAAAATGCAACACCATGTCTTTGAAAATAAGCTTCCTACAGTGACACTTAGGCAAGATTTTTCTCTTCACATTTCTGCTACAATTTGCACTAGGTTCTCAAATAGTATGAAATTGTACCAGGAGCTGGTACTCAAAGCATGTTCCAATGCTACTAATGTTGCCAGCACCTTGTTTTCTCAAAAGATGATCTAAATTACTAGCAACCAGTAACTGCCATAAAAATTTGAAGCCAGCTTAGCAGGAGAATGCTACTGATGTGGATTCAATAAACAGGCTTTTATGGAAGAATTTTGCTTCTATTAAATAAATGTTCTCCTTTTGAGAGGAAAATGCACAGCTACAGTAACACATCTAGCTGCCCCAAATTATGCTTAAAGCTAATAAAAAGGTTTAATATCTGAAGTCCATTGCTCTCTTGAAAGTTCAGAAATAGCTAACTATATTTATTTTTCTAATTTATAATTATAAGCACTCTGTGAGGTAGGGCCCTATTGCAAAAATTCCACAGATTGGGAAAAATCATTTGCTCTGTGGAAAATGTGCAGAGGAATGACCAGAACTTCTATAGATGATAGATGATTTTAAAAGGGTCTTCTGGGTAGTGGCGCCCACCTTGTGGAACGTTCTCCCATCAGATGTCAAGGAAATAAACAACTATCTGACTTTTAGAAGACATCTGAAGGCAGCCCTGTTTAGGGAAGTCTTTAATGTTTGATCTTTTATCGTGTTTTTAATATTGTGTTGGGAGCCGCCTAGATGGGTGGGGTATGTATGTATGTATGTATAAATAAATAAATAAATGGTTGACAGTATTGGGGAAGGTCAGTTTGTGTGACTGCATGGATGACCACTTGAAGAACCACAGTTACAGGTAAGCTAGCTACCTTCCCCCCTGCCTTTACAAGTTTCTAGGGGTAAAGCCAAACCTATGGACTATGCAACTACATAGTAGTCCTTCGTGACTTATGTCAAAGGACAAATTTAGAAAGATGATCAACCTTTCATCTTTCTTACATTTTAAATGTTGTGTTTGCACCTGTCCTGCCACATTTTCATATCTCAGTTACCAAAAACCAGTCTGATTGTCTTGATGTACCTTGGCCCAATCTTGCCTTCCTCTTTTAAATAACTCAAGCCTGGAACTATTCCAGGTCACCTGCAACCAGGTATTATAAAAATAATGGCTTACATACACTCTTTGAAAAAGAATAGATACTCTTCTAATCTGGTGTTCAGCTCATGAGTCAGTCTTAAGCAATTGCAACTGTGCAAGATAAATCCATTTCCTCTCTTTCTGAAGCAGTGGCTTCCTGGCAATATAGATATGACAAGGCTTTTTATAAGGCATTAGACAATAAATTAAGAAAAGTACACATTGGAGCATAAAAACCAGTTCAATGAAGTACAAGCAGGCACAACCTTCTAGTCAACCATCACAAAATGTTCCCAAGTTTCAAGAATAAATTTGTGAAAATTAACAAGGAAGAAAACAGACGTGAGCTAAATGAAAACCTGTGATAAAGGTAGATGGGGTAAAAGTATATGTGATATTGCTCAAATTCTTCAGTAGCTGAAACTTCTGTGAGCTTGTACCCAAACACCAACTTTTCCTCTTGAGATGGATATTGTGCCTTTTACACAGGAATGCTCAGAGAGATAGCTCAGTTGGTAGAGCATGGGAGTCGTAGAGAGGTAGAGATCTCAGGGTTGTGGGTTCAAGCTCCAAGTTGGGCAAAAGATCCCTGCATTGCGGGCGGTTGGAATAGAAGACCCTTGTGGTCCCTTCCAACTCTACAATTCTATGATTCTATATACCTGTCAGCAATGAGTTTTGAGTACTAGTGAAGATAAGAGTCCGGGCAGCCAGCCATATTTACAGGATTTATTACGCCTTTGAAGCTATGTACAAAGCAAGTTCAGAAGTTCGACACTTTCATGGCGGGTCGGTTGTCCCAACTGCCTTTCCTTTCGATTTTCCCCAGCATAGCCACCTTCTAAGCCCAGCCCCCCTCGTTCCTCTCTGACGAGGGTGGCTTGTCCCCGGAAGTACCTCCCCCCCTCTCAGATTCATTACCTCCTGACAGCTCTTTGTCACCCTCCTCGTACGAGGAAGAACAACTGCTTATTAAAGGACCCTTCTCTCGGTAAGTTCCCATTCTCTCCTCCTTCTCTGGCTCCAGTTCCCTGACAATACCTGTGGCCTTTCTGAAGCTGAACTAAAGCTCCCATCACGGCTGACCACTGACCATGCTGACTGAGGTTTCCAGGAGTTGGGATCTAGTAACAGTTAGAGGGGCACAGGTTCTAGGGCGACAAGCAGAAATGCAGCAAGTGACATCATTCCCACCATTGAGAGCATACACTTTTAATCACACAGCTGTTAAAGGCATACAAACCTGGCAGCTGGAGGCAAGTAAAGTCAACAAGCCTTACCCCCGCAGCTAACTGACACTATCTGTCCTGAGAGAAGGAAGAACAGAGCAAGCAAAGCAAGCAAAAACAACAGCAGGGCCTGCTCTGATCAGACTGTCCCTTCCTTGGGCCAACTTTACGTTTTATATCATTTGTTTGTTTTAGTAAACTGCCTTGGGAGCATTGCCAAAAAATGCCATATATAAATACAACAAATGCATAAATAATAGTAATGACTGAAGCAAGCCACATTCCACATATATTGTTGATGTAATCTTTGCTTGCAAGTTTTCCATTTCCACATATATATATACCTGTATTTCCACTGTCTTAACTGTTCTACAACTGCCAGTGGAAAGTGAAGTAGCTATATATTCATAACCAACAGGAATTGTATTGTATATTATTACGAAGGCTGTTTCACACTTTACGCACACCATGGCAGATGCATAAACTGTGTGTCAATGCGCTCAGGAGCTCTAATTTGCCGCAAGTCCCTGACATGTATACAATGGATATTTATAGAATTGTGCCTGTCAATCACACTTTTGTGTGTTTGCTACAGGGTGTACATGAGGGTATCTGCTGCAAATGTGACTGCTGTGTAAAGTAGCTCAGACAGTAACACAGCTATTTGGTTCAGTATTGCAAGCTGTGAAGAAAGTTTGTATTGAGATCTCTACTGAAAGCTAATATACTTTGGTCTAGTGCTCAGAGATCAGAATGTACATCTCAAATCTCACAACTTTATTGACAATCTGTTTGTTTCTGGACTCAATTTAAGTGATGTTTTTAAAGTCCTAAATGAGCTGGGACAAGGTCATCTTAAGAACACCTTGCTCCCATAGAGACATGCCTGGACTTTGAGATCAGTCTTGTAGGCCTTGCTCTTGGTGCCATGATGAGGGCCTTTTCAATGGTAGCAGCATGGCACTGGCACACTATTCTAATGGTGCCATGTCAGAAGGCCCTCTTTAACCTCCTTTCAACAGAACTGAAAATTAAACTTTTTTTGCAGGCTTTCAGTGTTTAATTCTGCTACTGCCTCAATTCTGAGATTTAGCCTTAATTATATACAAATAATATGTATGTTCTTAGCAGCTTATTTTAAATGATTGTTTTGTTTTGCATTGTACTTTATATGTATCATAAGCTGTTCATGGTATGATTCTAAAATAATAGGATATAACCAATAATTATATTCAGCAGCACGGTCTAACAATTTAAAAAGTAAAATAGTTCAAAGCATTTTAAATTTGTACATTTACTCTGCTAACTATGCATTCTCACAAAAATTTATCTCCAAAACGTAGGCCATTTGACACCAAACAGCCTTTCCATGCAAGAGCCACAGCACAGCCTGCCTTCTTCTGGAGGTGGTGGAACCAGTCAAGGTACCCTTACTGCAGCTGCCTTTCTGAGACTACAATACTCCCAAGCCTCAGCTCCCAGTCTCATATCACACTGTGAATTTTTCAAGGAAGAGTAAAGGACCATTCTGGACTGCAGCCCGATACAAGTTTAACCAACCTTAATTTTTAGGCCTACTGAAATCAATTATCTAAAAACATCGAACCTTTCTTGTGACCTCTGCACTTTTCTTTATATGACATGACTGATTAGGACACCAAGTAGAAAAGGTGAATATTAATATTTTCTCTTTACTATTCAAACACACTAACCTCCATTCCTTCACTTTAGAAAATAGTTAACCCACACCGCAATGTTCTCCATATTTATTTTGATAACTTGTTTTGTCAATAGCTATTTCTATAGTCACATAGGGCCATAAGAAGTTCACGTGTCATCTTGTTGTCAAACGTCTAGTTGAAAATACAAATAGTGCTCGGGCACAATTGACAAAGAATTGTACAATAGAATCATGTGATTTTAAACAGGTTCATCCAATTCAATGAGTCCTGGTTTATTAAACCTATAGTGAATATGGAATTCACACCTCTGATTGAAACTTATTTATATCTAGTGTAAACCTGCATCTGTTTTTCTATTTTCCTAATGCTGGTTCTTTTCTCTCTTTTGCCATGGTTTAGGACTTAAGCTAAATCAATAAAAATATCAGGGAGAGGAATGGTTATTTACCCTCAAACCATGGGAAATAGTACAGTGAATCAAGCACAATCTAGTTTGCAGAAAGTACGCCAACAAATGAGGATAGTTTATCAAAGTAAAAAGAAAAACAGATTGGCAGAAGCTGGGAAAAGCAGATGACTAAGCAACCTCTTTTGTAAACATACTCCCAGCTGTACTTTCAGCCTAATAGGAACTCAAGTTGTTGAGCAACAAGTTACCTTGCTCCAAGGTAACTAAGGCTTTAAAATGAGTATATAAACACACATGACTCACACACAAACCCCAAAACACAAGCATACTAGACGTTTATCTCTTAAAAACAAGAGAGACACCAAGTCTCGTTCCGGGCTGCTATATAAAGAGATCATGGGACTGCCAAACATTTGCTGAGAATTTAAAACTAAATTAATAGATGTGGTGAGTGGCACATTCCTGCTTGACCTTTGCATAAACTGCTCTTTAATTCCCTCCCCCCCACACTCCATCTACAAATTGCCTTTACACAAAAACAAAAAGGAGAAGGAAAGAAAAAGAGAAGACTTCAACTTATTTTGGGACACTTGAGTTCCAAGGGCCTACATGCATTCACCACAACATACATAGGCTCCATATACATTATGCCCATCCTTGAAGTAATAAAAGATACCTATTTGGAGTGTACAAGCTTAGGATCGTGCGCAAACAGAATTTCCAATGTGCAGAGACTGAGTGTGATGAGTGGAAGGGACTGGGAGATACATCCTCCACACACCCAGTAGAAGAGACTCTCACAAGAGGTGATGGACTCTCCTTCCTTGGAGGTTTTTAAACAGAGGTTGGATGGCCATCTGTCATATATGATCTAGTTGAAATTTCTGCATTGAAGAGGATTGGACTAGATGACCCTCGGGGCCCCTTCCAACTCTACAATTCTGTGATTGTACAATTCTATGACTTATCTGCAGAGGACTATGGGGGAATAGCACTAACTCAAATCAGACTGCTTAAGCTCAGTATAATGATATGCCATCAGATGACCCAACAACAACAACAACAACAACAACAACAAAATGCAGCCCATTAATGACAGGACAGCAATGGATGAACATCAGCTGAGCCAAAGGACAGGAAATGTCAAGTCTTGATGCTCTAGAAAATGGGACCATCTGTTTTCAAGCACACAGAAGCCTTGATGTTTTCAAATGTAAGACTGGAAACCTACTATTTAGATTCCTATTCTGCACGATTCTAAGAGTGAAAATAAGAGAAGTTGACATTCCTAGAATGTCTGCTAAGTCAATCTTTCCTGTTACAAATGAAGACATGGACAACAGCCACACAGATACTTCTAAGGACTGGTAAATGTGCAATACTGGGGGTTGCTTAATCTATGTTTTTAACCTCTGCTTAAAAGTATAACTAAAAAGAAATTTCTTCTCATTCTTTCTTCCTACTTACTAAGAGTAGAGAGAGAAAGAGCTAACAAGTAGACAAAAAACAATGCTACTCCCCTTTAAAAAGTGGAGAGGAAGGAAAATACCTCTTGGGCTCTATAGCAGGAAATGCACTGGGCCTTTGTTCCAAGAGAAAAAGTGACATTACACAACACCTTTGAATAAACTACTCTTGGCTTGGCTCAATAAAAATGCAATCTGAAGCAGTTTGAAGCCAATCTGCGACCAACATGGCATAAAGATTTGGGCACATATTTTGTAAGTCACAGCCAAAAAGAGATGACTACATTTCTTTAAAATATATGATGTCAGCCACTTAGATTAGAAAAATAATGGGACAGACTGTGATCTGTGAAACTGTCTTTCCATTCTGTTATTGTTAACTATCTGATACCATGAATATTTGATATACTCCAGCTGGTGCTCTTGCATGCTTCAGGCCTGGCAACAGATACTTCAACAAGTTACAGTTAGACAGGAACGATGGCTTCTGCATTTAAGATCGTTTAGTTATCCTTAAATAATTCAAAAGCAGGAAATCACAAAACAGTTTTTACCTCACAGAAATATACCATATCCTAAAATGCATAGTTTTGACATTTCACCGATATCTGTCCTACATCTAAATTATGTTTTTCAGGTGCCTTTTTGTTGCAGTTAATGCAAAAACTGTACTTTAGAAATGAGTGGGTGGGGAGAGAGAAAACGATGCATATTCACAATCAAAAATACAGGTTTTCAGCTGCCTAGCTGCTCAAGAACCAAAGAATTTCGACTAGCTATCCATCCCTACAAGAAT